TTATTATTTTAATTACATTTATTTACTTTAGTGGTAGTGGGGGCACATGCCATGGTGCATGTTTGGAGGTCAGAAGACAATTTGTGAGAGTTGGTTTTCTCCTTTGGTTGTGGATAAGGATCCAACTCCTGAGGATCAAATAAGGTTTGGTGGCAAGTGTCTTTACACTGAGCATTCTTTTTTTTTTTGTTTTTGTTTTGTTTTGTTTTTTGTTTTGTTTTTTTTTTCGAGAGAGGGTTTCTCTGTATAGCCCTGGCTGTCCTGGAACTCACTCTGTAGACCAGGCTGGCCTCGAACTCAGAAATCCGCCTGCCTCTGCCTCCCAAGTGCTGGGATTAAATAAAGGTATGCGTCACCACTGCCCGGCTTACACTGAGCATTCTTGCCAGCCCTAATGGCATAAAATTCTTGAATTCTTTTTTAGAGGAACTGTATGCATGAGGCAAATTGTGTGTGTGTGTGTGTGTGTGTGTGTGTGTGTGTTTTACTGGGCTCAAATTCAGGGTCTTACACATACTAAACACATGTTTTACTACTGAGCCACACGTTCAGCCTTATATGTACATACTTTTGCTCAAATGCTTTTGAGCAAAAAGTATTTGCAAAATACTTTTCTGTAAATCTTTTCCTCACCTCTCTATATGTCTTAAAACTAAGTCAAATAAGCCAGTTCATGAACAGCTTTGTGGAACTTCTGCAGCTTTATATCCATCAGGTACTTAAACTTCACTCTTGGCACTTTTATGCCTTTATATTCTGCTCTTACAAAAAGTGTTAGTTAGACAGGTGTTTTCCACAAACAGGTGGACCTGACAGATAGGTTTCTAGATAGAGGCTGCAAGGAATACATCTACACTCATGATTTCAATGAAGGATGTCAAACTAACATCCTTGGAGTTGGATAAGTTTGCCCTTCAACAGTGTGAGACTGTAACAGTAGCATCCTGGCCAGTGACCTAGGAGCACCTGGAGAAAAAGCTGGACAGTGCCAAGTACTCCCGAGATGAAGACTGTCTCTACTGTGTTCCTCAGTGCACTGAATAGGCTGCCCACTGGAGGCCTAGGCTTGCAAACAGGAAAGGGCCTGCTTCTTAACCAAAATGTTATTATTTATTTTATGTATATGAATACACTTTAGCTGTCTTCAGACACACCAGAAGAGGGCATAGGATCCCATTACAGATGGTTGTGAGACACCATGTGGTTGCTGGGAATTGAACTCAGAACCTCTGGAAGAGCAGTCGGTGCTCTTAACCACTGAGCCATCTCTCCAGCCCAAGGGCCTGCTTCTGAATGTGACAGAGAGTGATTTAGGTAGAGCCTAAGTTTCACTGAAGCTTAGGAGCAGCTTTCACACTGTAAATTATTCCACAGACTGGAGAAATAAACCAAAAACAGATGTGAGCATGGCGTGGGAAGGGTGTCAGCCACAGCACTGACCCTGCTGGGGGTCGGGGAGGCAAAGATCAAATCCTCTCTAGCAGTGATGTCAGTGGTGTGGACTGTTGTCCTAACGTGATAGGTCATAACAAATACAAACAGACCACCACAGCTCATCTTTAGGCAAGGATTCACAGAGAGAAAACCAAGATTCAGGAAAGGCTAGAGCCAGTAAGAGGAGAACCTCATAGTGTGGTGTCAGAGATAGCCTCAAAGTTAGAACAGGATACCTTTTCCTTCAAGTTACAAAGAGCCAAACTTGGGATGGAGAGATGGCTCAGCGGTTAAGAGCACTGACTGCTCTTCCAGAGGTCCTGAGTTCAATTCCCAGCAACCGCATGGTGTCTCACAACCATCTGTAATGGGATCTGATGCCCTCTTTTGGTGTGTCCGAAGATAGCTACAGTGTACTCATATACATAAATAAATAATTCTAAATAAAAAACAAAACCCAGTATACAAAGAGCCAAACTTGGGCCCAAGAAGGAGTGGGACCTAGCACATCATCTATGATCACTTGAACCCTGCTGTGGGCTCATCTGTCTAGTCCTTAGGCAGCCTCTGTGGGCCCTCCCATCAGGCTTGCCCTGGCTGGCAACATGTTCTGAGGGAGGATGAATGCTGCCACACCTGAATCAGTGCGAATGAGTCAGTGTGCGCCCCAAGGGTACTGGGGTCCCCATTCTCACCACAGCATGGAGAAAGCCCAATTAGACGCACAAAGCAGAACAGAGGGGGGATGTGAGGGGATGTGGGTTCTTCTCTGCTGTTCCTCCTAACAGCACCTGTCCAGAGGTGCTCTGCAGCCAGCCTCCTTCTCAGCCTTGTGACACTGCACCTCAGTCAGTCTTCCTGCCATGCTAAGACCTTCCTCTTTGGTTGGCTGGATCTTCTTTCAAGTTCCAGACAGAATTTTCCTAAGTGCTGTCTTTGGTCTTCTTGTCCTACCTTTTCCTGTCTCTTTTCTCTCAAAAGATTTACCCATATTCTTGGGGTCGGTGGTCACTTCTGTGCACAAGTCTCTTCTGTCTCTGGATGTCATCCCTCCCCTGTCCTCGCTTCTGGACTTAATTCTGTTTACATTGGCAACCAAGTTTTCCCTCTGAATATCTGTCATCACCTCAGAGTAACCATGTGCAAAACTGACCCTATTCCCCTCTCATCTCTACTTTTCTGCTCGAAAATCAGTGTTCTTTTTTTTTTTTTTTTTTTTTTTTGGTCTTTCGAGACAAGGTTTCTCTGTGCAGCCCTGGCTGTCCTGGAACTCACTCTGTAGACCAGGCTAGCCTCGAACTCAGAAATCCGCCTGTCTCTGCCTCCCAAGTGCTGGGATTAAAGGCGTGCGCCACCACCGCCCGGCGAAAATCAGTGTTCTTTCAATCACACAAACTCAAAAGTCAGATCTCATGCCTCCTCCTGTTCCCAACCTCCTTCCTAACAGTCTTTGTCCTTCCCTTTGTCCCTGTTAATACCAGGTCTTAGCACTCCATATCTTTAATATTCAGTAGCTTCCTATTTGTTTTTTTTTTCCCCTGGGATACTGGTCCCCCTGCTCCAAGACACACACACACTCTGTCTCGCTCTCATTTTTTTTTTTTTTTGAGACAGGTTCTCTCTATGTAGCCCTGGCTATCCTGTAGCTTTCTGTGTAGACCAAGCCAGCCTTGAACTTACATAGATCTATCTGCCTCTGCCTCTAGAATTGCTGGGATTAAATGTGTGTGCCACCATTCTGGGTGACAATCTTTCTTTCATTCTTTCATACCTGACCAGACAGATGTTTTTAAGACAGCTCTTTTGGTCTTGTCTCTTCTTCCCAGAAACCTTCAGGCACTCCTATTACCATGGCTCAAGAACCTCTTCTTGGCCCAAGCTTGCCTAACTGACTTTATTACACATGACAAAGAGTACAGGCTTGGAGCTGGACTCTAGGATCAAACCTCACATGCCATGTTGCCCAGAGCCAACACTTTATTTTCTCTGCCTGAGCAACCTTTTAAAAATTGCTGTGTAAGAAGTGTTATAGTTGCCAGGCGGTGGTGGCACACATCTTTAATCCCAGCACTTGGGAGGTAGAGGCAGGTGGATTTCTGAGTTCGAGGCCAGCCTGGCCTACAGAGTGAGTTCCAGGACAGCCAGGACTACACAGAGAAACCCTGTCTCGAAAACCAAAATAAAACAAAAACAAACAAACAAAAAAAGAAGAAGTGTTATAGTCAGGCTGGAAAGATGGCTCAGTGGTTAAGAGCACTGACTGCTCTTCCAGTTCAATTCCTACCAACCGCATGGTGGATCACAACCATCTGTAATGGTATCTGATGCCCTCTTTTGGTGTGTCTGAAGACAGCTACAGTGTACTTATATACATAAATAAATAATCCTTAAAAAAATAAGAAGTGTTATAGTTGTGTCTAGAGAAGCTGTGAGGATAAAATGCACACAGACCAATGCTGGACACGTAAGTGTGTCTTTTGGCTTTTTTAAATGTTATGTCTCTGTGTATGCATGTGTAGCACTTGCGTGCCTGGTGCCAGCAGAGGCAAGAAAAAGGTATTGGACCCCCTGGCACTAGGATTACAAGTGCTTGTGAGATGCCGTGGGGGCTCTAGGAACCAAAGCCAGCTCCTCTGCAAGAGCAATGACTACTCTTTTCCTTTTTTTTTTTTTTTTTTTTTTTTGGTTTTTCAAGACAGGGTTTCTCTGTGTAGCCCTGGTTGTCCTAGAACCCACTCTGTAGATCAAGCTAGCCTCAAGCTCTCGAACTCAGAAATCGGCCTGTCTCTGCCTCCCAAGTGCTGGGATTAAAGTCGTACGCCACCACTGCCCGGCTGCAATGACTACTCTTAACCTGCATAGCCATCTCTTCAGCCCCCTAGATAGCTTTTGGTTGTACTACGACAATACACATGATATGCCCTGCATACATCATGTGTCCTGGCCATATATGTCCCCTGTCTAAGTTTGATTTTTATTGCTATGATAAAAACCACAACCAAAGGTAACTGCAGGAGGAGAGGGTTTGTTTCGTCTTATACTTCCAGTCCACCACTGAGGGAAGTCAGGGCAAGAACTCAAGCAAGGCAGGAGCCTGGAGGCAGTTACTCAGGCAGATGCCATGGAGGAGTGCTGCTTACTGGCTTGGTCCTCCTGGCTTGCTCAGTTTACTTTCTCATACACCTTAGGACCACTTGTCCATGGATGGCATCACCCACCATGGGCTGGGTTTGTCCACATTAATCATTAGTCAAGAAATGCCCTACAGGCCAATTTGATAGGAAAATTTTCTCAGCTGAGGTTCCTTCTTCTCAGAGGATCCCACTCTCTGTCAAGTTGACAAAAACCACCAAACACCCCCTGTCCCCAACACACCACACACAATGTTTGCTCAGGCCACAACGCCAGTCTCTGCCTGCAGGCTCTAGCTCACCCTTCAAGGACTGGATACCTTCCATTTCCTCTGGCTGGGTGCTTATTTACTGTTACACAGTGTTGCTTAGACTGAGCTAAGCTGTGATAGGTGTCAGAGGCTTATGAAGCCAGCCTCAAGCTGCACAAACACATCTTCCTGAAGGGTTTTATTTTCATGTTAGAACAGCTACTTCCAACACATCGATAGAGTCTGGAGTCAAATGTAAAATTGGCAGATTTTAAAAAGACCAAACATAAAACTACTGAGAATACTCAGAGACTGAATTAATTCTGTAGTGGAAGGTCTAAGAAGAAGGAACACTGTGAACCCAAAGGCTTGGTACAAATGAGGGTCAGCAGGATGACTTCAGTGCAGCAGGGGGAGGCTTCTGCAGAATGGTTTCTGTACACCCCTGCCCCAGATGCTCTCTGCTTCCTGAGAACCGGGCACCTCTGTGTCTCTAGATTCCTAGGTTGCCTGGGGGCAGCACTTGTATTACATGAGGTTTTTTTTTTTAACTTTCCCCATATGTAGGCCTTATCTCATCAAGTCCATCCTAAACATCTGGAGTGCAGGTGTTTGGCTAGCCTGGTGGGGCAGCTGTGAAGGCTGGCTTTGCTGTTTGCTGGCTGTGCAGAGCATTTTCCCTCTCAGCCTCAGTTTCTTTATCTGTAAAGCACAGACAATAATTAATGTTCTCAGGTTTCAGCTAATAACACGCATGCAGTCCTCAGCACAGCAGTTGGCAGGATAAGCACTTAACAAACATGCCATGCTACCCAGCACTGCCAGGCTCTCAACGAGCATCTGCTCCTCCAGCATCCCCACCCTCAAGACGTCCTTTCCCTATACCTACCTCTCTTGCATGGTCACAGTCATTTACCTAGAGCATCCTGTCCTCCCAGCTGACCTTAACAATCACCTCCTTCCCGTGCATCACATCCTGTCCTAGGCACCACTCTTGATTGTGCACACTGTGTAATTAAGCTGCTCTGCTGCTCCATCTAAAACAAGAGACAAAACAAACCGTTCCTTTGATCTCATTCCTTTTCCAGCTACTACTGCAGTCTCCGGTCCTTTACAGTAAAATGTTCCTCAAAGAGTTGGCATGTGCTCCTGTCGGCAGCACTTATGCTAAAGTTGGAATGACAGGATGGCATAGAATTTGTGAAGTGCTCCAGATTTTTCTTGCTCATAGCCCAGTGTTAGAGTCAGAGGCACTCCTGCCATTATCCCTTCCCTGGCATGATAATACTGCCTTTACCACGAGCCGAAATAAATCAAACCCAAACTGACAAGCTTCCTGTCCCCAGTTCTCCAGGAAGGCTCTTACCTCAAACCACAAAGCTGTTCCTACCAAAGTTCCCAGGGACCTCTGTGTGGCCAAACCCTCTCAAATTGCATTTTACCGGCTTCTGGGGGACACCTAAGGGTTGAAACTCTCTGCTAGGACTCTCCAGGCTCTCCATTGCCTCCACTGTTCCGCTCTGCAGGCTACCCTCACCCCTGTCTCCTTTGCTGTATTCTCCCACTTCCCTGGCCTAAGAGTAGGGCTGGGCCGTTCTTGGATCCCTCTTCTCTCAATACTCTTAATATGCTGTGATTGATGATTAATATACTAGATTAATATACTGATTGATGGATGGATTTGGATTTTTTTTAAGACAGGGTCTTTCTGTGTAGCTCTGACAGTCCTCGAACTCTCTACATAAACCAGGCTGGACTTGAACTCACAGAGCTCTTCCTGTCTCTGTCTTCTGAGTGCTGAGAACATTTTGGAGGCAAGGTCTTGCTATGTTACCAGACTGGCTTTGAAACTTTAGTCCTGAATCAGGTTCCAGAGTGTTGGGATTTTACACATGATCAAGAACTAGTGTGCCCAGCTCATTCTTGTGACCTTAAATGCCATTTGAAAGTTCCTCCAAAGTTATATCTCAAATCTAGACCTCTCCAGAACTCCAAATTTACCATATCTTCTACCCACACTCCATCTTTACTAGCATACATTGCGAACACTTCAAATGGGACATATTGACTGGGGGTGTAGCTCAGTAACAGAGCTCTTGCCTGTTATAGGCAAGACCTCAGGTTCCACCCACAGCCCCTCCCCAAAGCCAAGCATCTAAAGCTCTTTGTTCCCTTCCTACTCTGCTCTTCGCACTCCTCCTCCTCCTCCTCTACTATGCGATATCTGAGCTTCCAGTCACTCAGGCGCAAATCCTTGGAGTTATCTTTGGCTCCTGCCCCTTAAATCCCAGTCAACATCAGCAATGTCTGGTGGTCAGTTGTCCCTTCAAAATACAATCTGGCCACTTCTCACCAGCTCCAGCCCCCACCCTATTTCAGACCACATCCCTGTCATCTCTTCTCAGACAGGTTTCATTAGCCTTGCTGAGTAGAGCAGTTTCCCCACCTGTCTGCTTTCCCAACTCCACAGACTGTTTCCACCCACAGCTGCACTTGTATTTTCAAAACATAAGTTCAATGATGTCACCCCTTAAAGTCATCCATATCTCTTTTCACTCACAGTAAAATCCAGATTTCTTATCATGGGCTACAATGCCCAATGGGACTGGCCTGCTACTTGTTTGGCCTCATTCCCTTGTCTTCTCCTTGTCCCCTGTGTTCTGACCTTCACATTCTTCTGTGAACAGTCTGGAAATGTTCCTGCCATTGAGCCTTTCTTATCATTCTTTCTGTCTGAAACATTTACTCAGGTATGAACCTTCTCTTCCTTACTTCCTTTGTATCTCTTCTCAAATGCTTTCTTACTATGGAGTCTTTCCTGTCCAGCTTCTCCAAAATATTTCATTGACATTTTCTAAACCGCTATGAACCCCTCACCCTAATTTTACTTAATGCTTACCACCACATGACATAGCTGATTTCCATGATTGTTTTGCCTATATTTTCAGTGATAGTAACACCCCATGGGGACCTATCATAGCAGGAACTTAGAAGCTGTTCATAAGCTGGACATATTAGGCAGGTTTTCTGCTGGCTGGTCAGGGAAGGAAACTTAGACTGGGTTTCTACCAGAGAATACTAGAGGCCACTCAGCTTTTGAAAAGACTTCTGTAAAGCAGGAGGAGGGGGGATGGGATAGGGGGTTCCTGGGCGGGGGGGGGGGGAATGGGGTAAGGGGAGAACATCTGAAATGTAAATAAAATATCCAATAAAAATAATAATAAGAAAAAAGAGAAAAGAGAAAAGACTGCCTTAGAAAAATAGATATGGAAGCCTGGTGGTGTAGAAACACAAGCCTCTAATCCCAACACGTGGGAGACAGAGACAAGTAGATTTCTGTGAGTTAGAAGCCAGCCTGGTCTATATAGTGAGTTCTAGAACAGACAGAATTATATAGTGAGACCTTTTTTCCCCATTAATTAATGAGTTTATTTACTTTAGATCTCGATCATAGGGCTGCACCCCATCCCCCCATTGAGACCCCTTAATCTCAGCATTCAGGAAGCAGAGGCAGGCAAATCTTTGAGTCTGAGGCCAGACTAGTCTACAGGACCAGGACAACACAGAGAAACTGTCTCAAAACAACCAAACAAAAAGCCTGTAGCTCGCTCTCCTGTAGCTGGCTCTCCTGTAGCTGGCTCTCCTGTAGCTGGCTCTCCTGTAGCTGGCTCTCCTGTAGCTGGCTCTCCAGCCTAACTACATTTTGGGAACTGCCAGCTAGAGTAGAGCATATGAAAAGACTAAAGGTCAGGATTTCAGGTTTAATGTGCTTTATTATAATCATCAGTGAGGCCCTTGATTCAATAACTCAGTCAGTTGTGCCCTCAGCTAGATGCCCAAGGTGGGTCCTTTAGGTTATTTGCCTACATCTGATTTTATGCCAGGCTGTGCTGGATTTGCCACACCATAGATCAGAGAGGGTGGGGCAGGCATCTGGTGGTCATGATTAGGGCTTAGAGGTGCTCAGCTTCACAGGTCCCCAGGAGCTTCAGCAGTCTGTTGTTTAGACAGATAAGAAGCTGAATCAGGAAGAACTCCAAAGTCAACCTGCTGACTTTCTCCAAGGATGAGATGGGAAAAGCAGGCCATGCTGTTTGTCCTGAAGTTCTTGGCGGCTAGGGACAACCAAGGTGGTACCTCAGAGTGGGTAGAGATGCCAGAGGCTGTGGAAGACAGTGTGGGAGAAGGAACTCATAGCCAAGTCAGATCTGTTCCTTGATGGAAAGTCTCTAGTTCATAACTATTGCCTGTGGTTCTGTGGCTCTGGTGAACACCTCAGTACACGCATGGATAGCCCCATGGGCCCTAGATATACACTTCCCCCACCATTAGCTCATAGAGGATCATTATAGAGACCTATCTCGAGCCAGGCACCTAGAAGACCCTTCTTGCTTGTCAGAAGGGACCCTTTAAGTCTGTTTCCATTTCTCCAAGTCAAGGCAGCCCCTATGTTGACCAAGAGGGTGGCAACTCCTGGAGAAGTGCCTGGTTCCCCTGAAAGCTATCCCAGCTGTCCTGACCTGCACTGGAAGCGAGGGTCTTCAGGGTGTGTCTTCAACACTTGGTGTACCTCTAGGGGAGGCTTCAAGCCCATCTGCTCTGCCCGATGCCAGCGCTGCAGCCTTGTGATACCTGCCATAGGGAAAGAAGACAGGATGGGCAGGACAGTCCACGCTAGAGAAGACAGAGGGCAGTTTCTTGAGCCTCCATTGTCATTCTCAGGAGACAGAGTCCAAGAGTTAGACAGGCACTTGGATTACTTCTGAGACACACTGATGGCAGAACTGATTCAGAGCTGTGCCTGATGGATGGGGCTGGAAATGGGGTTCTCACCTGTGCAAGGCCCATATTGCCAGGCCAGGTCAAATTGCCTCAGCAGCTCCAGCTCTGTTTCCTCCTGGCTGAGGGACTGGGTGTCTTCCCCTGCAATAACATGTGACCCCTCAGTCCCATCCAGGCCTTTGCCCTACCCTGGACTTAGAGCTGTGCCTCTATATCCTGGCTATCTCCTCACTAGTTTGCCTTTGCCATCAGCAGACAGACAGCTCATCGGAAGTGCGAGACATGCTAGCTTCCTCTTTTAGCCAACACACACACACACACACACACACACACACACACACACACACACACAGAGAGAGAGAGACAGAGACAGAGACAGAGACAGAGAGACAGAGAGAGACAGAGAGGGAGAGAGGGACTGACTCCTTTCTGGTCACTTCTTGTCCACTCTTCCTGCCACCCCCACATTTCAGAGACCTATCTCGGGTGCCAGCTCCCCCTTGCTGTGCCCAGGGGGCCCCTCCCTCTTCTTCACAACAGGGTAGGAGTCAGTGATGAACCGCTTCCGACCCATGGCGGCCACCCAGGCAGGCGGAGCAGGAGGCAAAGAAAAGGCAGGGCAGCGGGCCTGTGAGAGACAGCTGCTGAGGGTGAGAGAGGGGGCCAGAGAGAGATGGGCCAGCAATGGACAGACAAGTTGACCCAGACAAGCAGAGAGAGGAAGTCCCTAGGTTCCAGGGAATGACGCCTGTCTTCCGCCCCCACAAGCACGCAAACATCAGAGATCTAAGCAAATGGCAAACCGCCTTTGCGGGGCGGGGTCTTAATTCTAGCCAATGACAATCGGCAGAAGGCAGGGGGCGGGGTAGCTGCTGCTGTGTTCCGAGTGAGAAGGGGTTAGGCAGAACCAAGAACCTGTCAAGATGCCCCAGACTTCACCACCTCCTCGGGTTTCTAATTGGTCCACTTGGGTCCCCAGGGACATATAGAGAGTTATCCTCGGCCTCTCACTTCCCGTTTTTCCTTCCTAGGCAAATGTTCTTTTCAGCCTCACTAATCCCCGTGGCCAGTTTGTAAGTCCCCTGAGAATCTTTTACTCCTGCTGGTTGGCCCTAGAGCACTGTGGGATCAGATCTGTAGGTCCAAAGAGAGTTTGGACTAGTCCAGGTCCTTCCCTGCTCCTACTGGCCCCAGGAGACCTTGCTGGAGAAACCCATGAGCTCAGAAGGCTCCTTTCTCACAGTCTGCTGGCAGAGACACTGTCCACCCAGCCCAGGCATGCAGTTGCTGTGTCCTCTGTCAAGTCCCACAGCCTGCCTCTGTCCACTTTACTAGTCAGGAAGATTCCATTTCAAACAGGACACCGTAATATAGTCCCCACTCCCCATGGATTCATATCTCCAATTCCTAATTGACAGATCTGCTCTGTTTTTTTCTGAATGTGTATCATGAGCAGAAAATAATTTCAATAGACCTAATCCCCATATTGGACTTACCATGTGCCAAGTTCTAAGTATCTCCCACATGCTAACTCAAAATAGATATCAAAAGAGTTTTTTTGCAAGTGGGAAGTGTAGGCAAATTGTGATCAGTGCTCTTAGTAACAGATACTGTATAACAAACTAGCCTTCCCTGTGCTCCAGAAGCTCCCAGACTTGGAAGATAGAGGGTCATACACAGTTGTCAGGCCGGACAGAGAGCAGGAGAGCTCCTGAGAGCTAGAGAATGGTAGGCATTGGGAGAAGACCTCCAGGAGGTAATTGCTGTAAACAGCGTCTCTCAATTCTCTACCCATGACCTTTGTTTTGGGGCTCCTGTCATCGCTGACTCACCCCTACTACCACCTCCCCCTCACCAACTTCCTGGCAGCGGGTGAAAGTGCTGGCCTGAGGGAGTCTGGGAACCAGCACTGGGACTGACCCAGCACTAATCACCCTCTGGAGAGCCCATCCGGTTCTTCGTTCCAGGGGTGCAAGGTCTAAGGACGGCTGACTGGAGGCCTTTGCCCTCCTTTTCGGAAGCTCTGAGATCTGGCTTAGGAAGCACTCGGCTGGCCTCCCGTGTGCCTGTGTGTGTGTGTGTGTGCGCGTGTGTGTGTGCGTGTGCCTGTGTGAGTGTATATATATATGTGTCTGTGTCTGTGTGTCTGTGTGTCTGTGTGTCTGTGTGTCTGTGTATGTGTGTCTGTGTCTGTGTATGTGTGTCTGTGTGTGCCTGTGTGTGTGTGTCTGTGTGTGTGTGTGTGTGTGGCAGAGAAGAGGATCACTCTAGAGAGGAGCCCATCAGTGGTGGACAGAAGGTTGTGTCTCCAGGGGCCTCCTCTTGCCTAGTCTTCCCCCATTAGCTTCTTAAGGGAGCTGTGGGCACACTGCAAAGACCTGGAATGCCTTTCTCTGACCCATTGTTTGGGGTGGCCCAGGTCTGATCCCTCCATCTGTCTTCTGGACAGTGGAGCCCAAGTCTGGGAGAAAGGACTCTACAGAGTTGGGAAGGGGGAGAGGCATTCTTTACTAGGAAGGGAAAAGCATAGGCATTAGGTCTCATCAAGCCTGGTGCTCTATAGTGGTGTAGCTCCTAGGCTCTGTGGGACTGTCCACTCCTTAAAAGGGTCTCAGAAAGGTACTCTGGGGCTGTTCCCCAAGGTATGTGGCACCCACTTCCTGAGTCCACAAAGCCCTGAGGGAACAAGGAAGCCTGGGTGGGGCAGACCCCTCCTCATTCCTGGTCCCTCCCACCCCTGAAAGCTGATAGCCGTGGGGCCTGCCACCGCCCAGGGAGCGTGAAATGGGGTGTGCCGCTGGGCGGCCACAGCAGCTCCCATCACTCCCTGGGCCGATTCCCCTCTCTCCTTTGACAGCTCCTGACACCCTGACCTGCTCTGTGGATCTTGGCTGGGCCATCGCCACCTGCCCTCCCTCCAATCCCTACCCCAGATCTTCTTGGCTCAGGTCCAGGTAGCTTCTCCTACACTGTCTAGAAAGATAGCTCCCAGGGGCTTTAGGTTCCCCTCAGCCCCTCAGGGATCTGGAGTGTTCTGTCTCAGTGCAGGACCCCTAGCACTGGCCTTCTGGTGGGGTTGGGGAGTGGAGAGTGGAGCTCTCCCTAGGAAGCATGTTGTCTTTTCCATGTGAGCATTGGGATCTTCCTGGCCTGCTCAGCATCTGATGGTCCTCTAAAGTGTTTGGGACACTGACTTGTTCTCCTGTCTTTGGGTGTTTTCCTACTTTCTTCTCTAACCTCCTCATTTCCCTTCCTGCCTAGAACACTTTGATTGATGCAGGCAGCTTCTTGGGCCCCATCAAACTGCTGTTCAGTTCTCAGAGTGGAGACCAAACTGGTGGTCTAAGTTAGTGGCTCAGTTCTGTCTTGAATGTGAAGTGCCTTTGGTCAGCACTGATTCCAGAAGCTGGCGATAGAAGGAGACACAGTTAACGTACACCTTGGAAATGTCAAAAGCCTTACTAGGTTCAAGGTCAAAGTCCTGGAGACCAGGAGAACAAAGAACCTGAACAGAAGCCCAGAACTCACTGGGGCACAGCTCCAGTGGAAAGCAGATTAAACTTGGCGTTACTCGGTGTGACAGTTCCAGGTGGAGTCAGCACTATACACCAAGATACATCCTGAAAGTCCTTGTCCTTCCGTTTGAGATGGATCATATGGAGAAAGCCAGATAGTGCTGAGAAGATGGGGCAGGCAGAAGAGAGGGAGGAGAGCAGTTGCACGGGGCTCAGTGGGATGGGAGGTCTCTCCTATTCCTTTCCCTCTCCTTAGCCACACCCCCTTCAGGCCCCACTACTCATTCTGAGCTAAAATCAGTCCAGTTTAGGGGATTTTGTGCATCCAGGTGAACATCCCAAAACGTTTTACTAGCCTTCGTTCTTTCCCCCAGGTACCATACTTCTCCAGGAGCTCCTCCTAGTTCCTCTCTACCTCTCAGGCCCAGCACCTTAGCCTGGTAGGTTCTGAGTTTCATGGATTTAAAGAGTGGGAAAATTTGCCGGGCGGTGGTGGCGCACGCCTTTAATCCCAGCACTTGGGAGGCAGAGGCAGGCGGATCTCTGAGTTCGAGGCCAGCCTGGTCTACAGAGTGAGTTCCAGGACAACCAGGGCTACACAGAGAAACCCTGTCTCGAAAAAACAAAAAACAAAACAAACAAAAAGAGTGGGAAAATAGGAAGGTTTCCCTGGGTCCCTAGTGTCTATTCTGCCCTGCCCAGGAACTTTCCACGCAGCTCCACTGGTCAGCTCCCCTTTCACCAGGGCCAGCAGTTCAGAAGAAATTCTGGGGATTTGAAAAGTGCCCTTTTAGCCGGGCAGTGGTGGTGCATGCCTTTAATCCCAGCACTTGGGAGGCAGAGGCAGGTGGATTTCTGAGTTCGAGGCTAGCCTGGTCTACAGAGTGAGTTCCAGGACAGCCAGGACTACACAGAGAAACCCTGTCTCGAAAAAACCAAAAAAAAAAAAAAAAAAAGAAAGAAAGAAAGAAAGAAAAAAAAAGAAAAGAAAAAAGTGCCCTCTGGTCATTCCTCACTATGCCCACCAGGTGTCAGACTTTGTCCAGCAGGAAAGAGGTCCTAGTTGGTCCCTAAGCCCTATATTCTGGAGGTAGAGGCAAGTTGAGGAGGTACCTTCAAGTTATCTCTTAACTGGCCACTCTAGGGACCCTGAAGAATAAGACAGAAAGGACTGAGACTCAGCCCCACAGGTCTCTCACAATTACTCCCTGTATGGCGTTGGTATGAGTCTGCTGGCAAGGGTTTTTTTCCCTTCTAGGAAATTTGGATACCAAACTGAGTCAGGGAGCTCAAGATTAGAGAGGACAAAGATAGGGACAATTATGGCTGCCTAGAAGGGAGAACTCAGAGGGAACTACCATCAGATTATGCAGTCTCCCCTGAATTGCTAACCTTTGCCCTCTAGGCTAAGGAAAGCCAAGGACAGCCCTCTGCCTTCCCAGTTTGAGTGGCTGTGGTAACTGGTAAATGTTTTTGTGTAAGATGAGTGTTTGAATGAGTTCTCTTGCTGCTGAGGGGATCCCTAAGCCTTGGCTGTTGTGTCATTCTCTGGTGAGGTGTGGTGATTTGCCTCTACCTAGAGCCTCCTCAGTACTGGCTCTCAGCCTCAAGGAAGCTGCCTTCTCTCCTAGGTGCAGGTTTCCAATACACATGGGCTCTCTGGGGAAGACAAGGGAGAAGTCAACCCCTCTCATCTCTACTCTCTCTCCTTTCCCCCTAAAGACACAGGACTTCTGGAGACGTAGGCAAGAGGTTGAGGCCAAGTGAAGAGGGTATTTTCTGATGCTGAGGACCAGCAAGACAAGCATGGCAAAGTCAAGAGGTGAGGGACCCTAGGTCACTAGAATGGAATTGTTGAGCAGTTGTGACCCATTGCGCCACACACTACAAGCAGAGAAGACACTAGAAGGAACAAAGGCAGGGAATGGATTGAAGAGATGCTTCATGTGTGGAACATTGGATTCATACACACAGATGGTGAGGGTGGGGCCTTACAGAGCAGCCACAGGTACTCTCAGAGAACAGGCTCAGAGAGTACTTCAGAGCTCTTGGGTTTTTCTTTTTCTTTTTTTCCTGGTTTGTTTTTTGAGGCAGTCTCTTGACTGAAGACTTTGAATTTACTATGTAAACCAAGGCTGGCCTTGAACTCCTGATCTTCTTGCCTTCATCTCCCAAGTATTGGGATTACAGATGTGCAGCTTGAGTTTTTGACATACCCACTAGTAATTCCCAATCACAGTGACTTGGGTTTCAGCTCTGTATCCTACAGAGCATCTTGTGGGAATGTCTGCTGCTGGGCTGGTAGCTCCCAGTAGAAGAGAAGGTTGTTTCATGTGCATTTTTGTCATGGGGATAATGAACTGTCTTTGGCCATCTAGGCTATAACTTTTCTTGTTTTTGTTTTTGTTTTTGTTTTTTCGAGACAGGGTTTCTCTGTGTAGCCCTGGCTGTCCTGGAACTCACTCTGTAGACCAGGCTGGCCTCAAACTCAGAAATCCGCCTGCCTCTGCCTCCCAAGTGCTGGGACTAAAGGCGTGTGCCACCACCGCCCTTGTTTTCGTTTTTTGAGACAAAGTTTTGCTGTGTACCTCTGGCTATTCTGGAATTCTGGAACTTGATACATAGACCAGGCTGGCCTTGAATTCACAGAGATCTGCATATCTCTGCCTCCTGAGTGGCAGAGACAGGGACAATTATGGCTCCCTAAAAGGGAGAACTCAGAGGGAACTACCATCAGATTATGCAGTCTCCTCTGAATTGCTAACCTTTGCCCTCTAGGCTAAGGAAAGCAAAGGACAGCCCTCTGCCTTCCCAGTTTGAGTGGCTGTGGTTGTGGTAACTGGTGAATGTGGAATTAAAGACATATACCACAAGGCCTAGTAAAAGTTAGATTGTTCTTTGAGATGTAATTTGGGGTTGGTTTTTTCAGGTTTTTTTCTTTGTGTGTGTGGGGGTAGGCTTTGAGGTACTTGGAGATGTTATTTTGTTTTGGGGGTCTTGAGGAGGACAGGTGTTGAGGTACTTGGATTTGGACTTGGGGCCTTATGCATGCTAGGCAAGTGTTCTACCACAGTTATGTACTCAGTCAAGGGGGCATGAACATATGAGTACAGATTCTCACAGAGCATAGATCCCAAAGGAGTCAGATTCCCCTGGAGCTGGAGTTACAGGCCATTGTGAGCCACTGTACGTGGGTGCTGGGAACCAAGCTCGGGTCCTCTACAAGAGCAGTATGCACCCCCCTTTTTTTAAAGATTTATTTATTTATTTATTTATTTATTTTATGTATATGAGTACACTGTAGCTGTCTTCAGACACACCAGAAGAGGACATCGGATCCCATTACAGATGGTTGTGAGCCACCATGTGGTTGCTGGGAATTGAACTCAGGATCTTTAGTCAGTGCTCTTAAGGGCTGAGCCATCTCTCCAGCCCAAGTTACAACTCTTAAGTAGGGTGTTTGAGTCAGAAGCCCAGGTATTGAGAAATGAACATACAAATCAAGACTACCTGGATATCCGCAGTGCCATAGAGGCAAAGAACTGTCCCCAGAAGTCCTGTGTCCTTAAGGGAAAAGGAGCAAGAGTAGAGATGAGTGGGGTTGACTTCCCCTTGTCCTCTCACTGTCAGTTTACATGCTTGGAAATGTTCCTGTGTCTGAGAAGATGTGAGGGAGATGAAAACCTGTACTTAGGAGAAAAGGTAGCTTCCTGGAGGCTGTGAGCCAGTACTGAGGAGGCTCTTGGTAGAGACAAGATGTTTCTGGGTTGCTAAGAAATGCCACAAACAGGACCCACAAGAAAGATATGTCTGTGATCCCCTAGTTATTCCCTGTGTTTGCCCAGCAAGCTTTTGCATTCTCTCTTTCTTATCTCTTCAGTACCCCAAACCCTCCATTCTTCAGCTATTACTTCCACACTTGGAACAACATGTTTAGATTTCTTCTATTTAAAACAGACAAATGATAAGCCTTCCTTGATCCTACCTTTACCACAGGACAACATGTATTCACTTCTGCTCTCCTCACACTGTATCTTTCTTGGACTCACAATTTGGTGTCTGCCTCTCATCTGCTATTTCAAAGGCTCCTATGGGGTGTGCATGGCGGTACACACCTATAATGCCAACACTTAAGACACTGAAGCAAGAGGATCACTATGAGTTTTTTGTTTGTTTGTTTGTTTGTTTGTTTGTTTTTGGTTTTGTTTTGGGTTTGGTTTTTCGAGACAGGGTTTCTCTGTGTAGCCCTGGCTGTCCTAGAACTCACTCTGTAGACCAGGCTAGCCTCGAACTCTCGAACTCAGAAATCCGCCTGCCTCTGCCTCCCAAGTGCTGGGATTAAAGGCGTGCGCCACCACCGCCCGGTGATCACTATGAGTTTTAAGTGAGCCTGGTCCCTATATCCAAAACCAAACAAGTTGCCTGTGGTTCCTAACTGCCCAAGCTGGTGTGTTTCCTCTATTTTCTCTTCTTAGTTCCTCCAGAGCATGAGATTGCTGATCAGCTCTCAGCTTCTAAACCCTTCAAAAACCTTCTTTTGGACAATCTTTACATCAGTTTAAATCAAATTACCAAGAGTTTCACTGTGTCTAGCATTATGCTAAACCATTATCTGGATGCACGGCTGAACAATCCTGGAGCCTGCCCCCAAAATACTGTCTTCCTGAAAAGGAGACTCAACTGTGTCCTGACCCATCTCTACCTATCCAAAATCTTCCTGTCCTCTAAGAACAGTACTGAATCTTACCCTGTGCAGTTATGCAAAAGGTATACTGAGCACTTGCTATGTTCCAGACACTACACACTTCAGTCAATAGGCAGATACACTGCTTCTTCTCTATGCACGCTCAGCCTAAGCCCTTCACCCGTTAGGCACTGCCCTCTGTCCTACTTTTTCATTTGGTGGATCTGCCTGCTTGACTCCCTACCTTTCCTAATATTTACTGGTTCTCTTCTTCTACCATGTGAGTAACAGAGATCAAACTCATGTTTGGCTTGGCAGCAAGCACCTTCACCCACTGAGCCATCTCACTGGCCCATTGCCTAGGTCTTTCTACATTTAAGTAAATCTGCCTCCTCATATCCGTACATTTATAAGCTGTCATCCTGCCCCCTTTCCTAGATTGCTTTGTTCCACACTTACAGAATACATTAATGAAACACCTCTAGGTTGGACCCTGAGCTGAGTGCTACACAGAGCAAAACAGAAAAGAGCAGAGGATGGTGTATGCTTTTTAAACCAGCACTGCAGAGGTAGGGGACAGGAGAATTGCAAGTTCAAAGGCAACGTAGGCTACAAAGTGACAGAAAAAAAGCTGGGGTTGGGGAAGGAGAATGAAGAGGAGGCAGAGAGGAGAGGGGAAAAAGGAGGGAGAAAGGGAAAATGGAGGGAGAGAAGGAAGAAGGAACAAAGGGAGAGATGGGGAAGATACTACAGAGGAAGACTGGTATTGGCCTCTAAGATAGTCACCAGCTAACACTGTGAGATCCCTGTGAAGACAGGACCCTTGCTTTCCCTTCTGGCTTCCTCATATATCCTTGTCCAGTGTTTTGAATATCACAAGCCAAGATATAGTTTGCCTGTTTGTAGAGAAAGTCTGATCCCCTTTCTAGTGTGTCTCATTAGGCAAAGGGGTTTTGTTAAGTGTCTGGACAGGTATCTCAGCCCACAGAATCAGGACATGTTCCCCTTGTACAGGTGACTCTAGGACATGATGCTGAGGCTGGCTAGCCCATGCATGGCAGTCAGAAAACTCCTCATCCTCCACCTTCACCTCACCCGTTCCTAGGACTCATGCACTCGCCTTGTCCACTGACCGATGTAAATGGGCTTCTGTACCTTATTATTTCAGGGAAGCTGAACTTTCTTTCTCAAGTAGATTGCAAGATCCACAAGAGCAGGAGTCAAGTTAGGTTTGAGTCTTCTTTTGGTTTCAATCTACCCAGCAAGTGTAGTGAAGGGAAGAGAGTTAAGTCTAAAGTAGCTGTCAGCTGAGCGGCACCTACCACCACTTGTTACTTCCTTAATGCAGAAGGCATTGTCTTTAGGAGACTCTAATGAAACATCCATGTGTTTCCTGGGAGCAATTAACCCATTAATTTGCCCAGTAGCTCATGACTAGAATGTCATGACACAGTGATATGGTCCAACTAATCTGCAATTATTCCAATGGTTGTTGCTATAGCCAAATACCTTTAATATTTCCATCACCCACTCCAACAACTGCATAAAGGTATTTAATTACCTCCACTTTACAGACAGGGAAACCAAAGACCAGAAAACTTTGTCTAAAGCTACCCAAGTAACAAATTATAAGATGAGATTGGAGCTTAGATTATCCCTTCCATCTATCCCATTCTCTTCCTCCAAATAGGCTTTTACACTGGAGGAAAGGGACGGATCCATAGGAAGAACTCTGACTTGGCTGTCCATCAGCCTTCCTAGGAGAAGAGTAAGGTGAGGGCCCCTTATGGGACTAATGGAAGCCCAGGGAAGCTTGGGACTGAATGTCAGGGGTTAGTGATTAATAAGTCAGAGAGGAACATAACAGCTCTTCCCACCAAGTGCAGGCTGAGCCAGAGTGGGGAAATTCAAGGCCAGACAGACCTGGGAGACCAGACAAGCAGTCCAGAGGCAAGGAAGACTGGCAGACAACATGAAACATGCACAGCTATCTGGGAGGACCAAGGCATTGTGGGTGTGGCAAGGGAGCAGATAGGTTGTTCCAGGACCAGCAGAAAGAGCCTGTACCCCAAGGCCTGTGTACCTCTATGGTATAAAGAGACAGTGAGAATTATAGCAGGTAGGGCTAGGGTCACCAGCAATGTATCCTAGGAAGATTACCAAGCTAGGCAAAGAGTCCAAGTTCTGGGGAAAGCATTTTATTTGTTAATACAAGAATAGAAATTCTGCAATAAATATCATCTAATAAATAACATCTCCAAATAAATAAATATTAATACAACAAACTTAGAGTCATGAGTGGGTGGGGCTGGGGATAGAGCCTGGGGGAGCCATCCCCCTCACCCCACAATGCTACTGCAATGTAAACTTTCAGGAAACCCTGTGGCTATGGCTACGGCTGCCCTCCCCAGCCCAGGCAACCACAGATACCCTGGGAAAGGGGGCAGAGAGGAGGCACCAAGATGCTGGCAAGAAAATTCAAGGCAAGGTCTTAATGTTCAACATGGCTTTTGTTTTCCGCCCTGGGTCACCAATTGTCCTGGTGACTTCTAGGTCTGGTCTGTCCCTGCCCTTCTCTTTTAGAATTACATCTTCTGGTTTCTAGGCCACCTCCAGCATAGACCCTACCCCTCCACTTACTATCACACTCTTCTTTAGACTGGTCGATTTGTTTCCTGAACTGGATATGTAGTTATTGGGGTAGGAGAGCAAAACCCATCCAAGGAGAGGGAAGGAAACCAAGGGGCCTTATCTCAGAAAGGCACATGCTACAGTGACCCCCACCCATGCCCTCCAGGTGTGTTTCTGCAAGTGCCACATGAGGAACTGAGTGGATACTGGCAAGTGGCAAGCAGAAAGCAGGAGGCAGGGAGAGCCTTTATACCCACTGAGCCATTTGACTCCCTCAGGCATTACCTCTTGGTGCCTACTGGACCTTTTCCCCAGACCCTAGGAGCTGGAGGGCTTATTAAATTACACTCCCCATCCAAGGCTGAGGAGAGCAGAGCTCCCATGGTCTGTCTCCTGGCTCAACAAATGTTGGTATACAGGATTTTTCACTCCACGATGGAAGCACAGCTGACTGGGGCTGGAGCTGCAGGAGTTAAGGGTCAGAGATCAGAAACCACGGGCCTCCAAATGCAGGGTGACGGAAGCTGCTGGAGGCTGCATCTTCTTCTTAAGCCGGTTGAAGTCCTTGGCTGACCGCCATAGCCAGGTCTGCAGCTCCTTCAGCAGCCAGAAGTCATCCATCTTCTGGAGGAAGTCACTGTGGGCAGGGCCAGGGGCCCAGGCTGGCTCAGTCCCTGGCAGAGGCTGGGGCAATGGGTAGCCAAGAGTTGCCATGACACCTGCAATGCTGCCCAGCAGGCCCTGGAGACTGGTACAGAAATGGGCCAGACTGTGTCGTAGTTCAGCTGTGGCAGCTTGACGGTTGAGGCCACGCAAATAACACAGGAGGTGACTGTAGGCCTCATAGTTCTGGGTCAGCCGCAGCCTGTCATTGAGGCTTCGCCACACTTCCAAGTTGACCGTGGCCCTAGGCAGAGTTTCTGCCCCCAGCCGAGGAGGATTGAAGTCAGGCTCGTTGAAAGGGGGCCCCAGGTAGTTCAGCTGTGAAAAGGAGAGGGCAATGGGGAGGGAGCAGAGCAGAGCTGCCAGCTTGCCACCAGAGAGATACCTCCTCCCAAAGCTTCTATTGCTCTTGACCCTGACATGGGAGGCCTCTGGTCATAGACCTCCCGAGTTTTTCCAGCAAATGTGTCAGCTGCATGGAGGAGACAGGTGAAGCAGTGGGGTGATGAGTTCTCCTATGGAGAGGTGTAGAAAGAGAAAACCACGAAGGAGCCACGCAGGAGGGACGTGCTGATTGTCTGGGCGGAGAATGCCCACCACAGGGCAGGGCAGAGAAGAAGAGGAGCCGGAGGAGCCAGGAGACCAGGCTGGAGAGGTAGAAGGTGGCCTCTGAGAGTGCAGGCCAGGGAAGAGCTCAGGACGGCAGCAGAGCTCCGCAGGGCAGTTGCAGAACATGAGAGTGAGCCGCAGAAAATGCTGTCGGGTTTGGTGAGAAGGAGATGCCTGATGACCTGGGAGAGATGGTTGCCGTGGCCTGGAAGCCAGATTGCAGGGGGTTAACAAGTGAGTGGGTGGAGAGGAAGTGGAGGCAGAGGGTGTAGACGACTCCTTCAAGAAATTTGGCAGGAGTTAGGAGAGAAAGGGTCGGGAATTAGAGAGGGTAGCAGACTTAAGCAGAGGTTTTCTGTGCAGGGAAACCAGCCAGAGGAGAGTTCGTATCAAAGGCAGAGGGATCTGGTGACACCAAAACTCCTCTTGTACAGGCCCAGTTCTTTAAGCCAAAGGGACAAGAGATGGCAATATACTTACCAACACCCCAAGAAGAGGATTCAGTTGCTAGAAGCAGAGCTGTAAAGGAGGAAACTGAGGAAACGTAAAAAGAGGACAGGAGGAAGGGCATGGAGGCAGAGTAGGAAGAGTAGGAAGAGGGCAAAGGCCTTGCCAATGTCTCAGGGGAATGGCCAGAGGCCCAGGGAAGGGGATGTGGGAGATATGCAACTGGGAGGGAGAGAGAAGAGGGGCGAGGCCTGGATAGGCACTGGCCCAGGGGGAGGTTCACACGCTGACAAGCACAGAGACAAACTAATTTCCTCGGTGTATCCTGGGGCTAGAGCCAGCTCCCCCGCCACCTCCTCCCTTTTTCTTCCCTGGCTCAGGAGTAGGGTCTGGGATGTGGAAGAGGAACACGGGAAGAGGGGCCTGTTCCCCATGGTCCTCATGCCTCTGATCCTCTCTCCTTCTCTCCTGGGCTCTGTGAACATCTCTAGACTACCCTCAAATTCTTATGGTCCACCCACCCTCCAGACCCCGAACCCCTGCCATGAATGACCTTGATTCTTTGTAGACCCCTCCTCCAACCCCCGAAGAGGTCTGTGAAGGGTAGGAGAGGCAGACAGAGGGAGGCCCATGGGTCCAGAACAACAGGGCCCCAGGTCTGGGGGTAGAGGCGAGCTGGAACACAAGCATAGAAGGTGGGGCCCCTCCATCCCCACCCAGCCCCACCCTTGCAAGAGACACCACAACACGGTGTAAACAGAGGAGACTTCCCCAGCCCCCAGGGGGAGGCAGGCAGCTGGGCTGGCAGCCAATGGGGCAATGGGCCAAGGCGGGTTCGAGGCCTGCCCACATGCCTACTCCTGGGGCCAGGGGGTGGGGGAGGCACCTGAGAGGGAAGAGCAGAAGATAGGCCAGATGGAGAAACTGTGTGGACCCAAAGGGCCTCTCATCACCCCATCATTCACTAGGACCCCTACCCCATGGTCTCTCTTCCCAAAAGCCTCTGCTACCTCTTTGTCAAAAGGGATACTCACGTAGGTCCCAGCTAAGCTTCGGAGTTGATGCTCCAGGTAGCGGGTGAGGTCATAAGTTTTCTGGATGGAGGGGCCAGGGCCTGGATCTCCTGTGCGATTAAGAGCTGGCACTGCAGGGAGGTGCCACAGCACCGTGCATAGGCAAGCTAACATCCCCCACGAGTCCCCTGTGGATAGGATGGGCAAGAAGTATGAGGGTGGGCCCAGGCCAGAGTGGGGAAACAGCTGGCAGCCCCTCAGGTGTCTGTCCCCACCTTGGGCTAAGAAGGGGGGGTAAGGGAGAGAGACCAGATGGGAGGTGGAGGGGATGGAGGAAGGAAATGACTTCTGGTCCAAGAGTGTATGTGGAGATATGTATGCAAGGACTAAGTCCTGGCATTTGTGTCTATCAGTAGATGCTTGACTGCTATCAGCTGAAAGTCTTCGGCATGTATGTCCCTGTATGTTCAACTATGTGTGCATGTGTCTATTCAGAGGGGCAGGCCAGGCTTTAGGGGTTCTGTGTCAACATGCTGGAGTTCTAGTAGTGTCCCATTGCAACAGGAACTAAGAGGTGGGAATATGGCATGTTAGCTCTGGCAAGCTGTGAGCAGTGAGCCCTGTGGAAGAGTGAGAAGAGAGGCAGCAACCATGGGAGGTAGGAGTAGTGTTCCACAACCAAGGTCAGGCCATGGGTCCAAGATGGTTTGTGGAGTGAGAAGTGGAGGGTATATACTAGGATATGGTTCCTGGGTGTTGTGAGGGCAGTATAGGATTAATTGAAGGAGACATGGCATGCCTCTTAGTAGCAATGTTAAAGTTTGATCCCCCTCCTTTTCCCCCTGTAGTCCTAGGATTAAACACAGGGCCTGTGCATGCAGGCAGGTGCTCTACCACTGAGTTACAGCTCCAGCCTTCTCTATTCTCGATGCAGGGTCTCCCTAAGTTGCTCGATGAGCTACTTGTGAACTTACAGTCTTTCTGTCTCAGCTTCCCGAGTAGCTGGGATTATAGGCTTGTCCCTACAGGCCCTGCCAATGTCCCCCCTATCTTTAGAGTGTTGTAGAGGCAGCATCAAGGGAAAAGATGTGAGTTTAAAGGGGGAAGCTGATCAACAGAAGACATCAGAGGGTTTGATTATTCCAAAATCCATGAGTTGATGCTGGGAGAAGGGCCAGAATCAGGTGGGAAACATGCTTTTCTTTTTTTTTTCTTTTCTTTTTTTTTTTTTTTTTTGGCTTTTTCGAGACAGGGTTTCTCTGTGTGTAGCCCTGGCTGTCCTGGAACTCACTCTGTAGACCAGGCTAGCCTCGAACTCTCAAACTCAGAGATCTTCCTGCCTCTGCCTCCCAAGTGCTGGGATTAAAGGCATGCACCACCACCGCCCGGCCGAAACATGCTTTTCTAAAGAGACTTTTAGGTGAGGTCCAAAATCAAAACCAGGGCTAGGAAAGGGTAGGAATATAACAAGCAGTGGGCTAGGTTAGGCATGAAGACTAGGTAACATTTCAGATGCATTTAGACTGGGATTTGGTTGAGTGAGTGTGGTTGAGATTTGAGTCCAGGAGTGTGGTTAGGTCTGGGCAGGCAGAAGGTTAGCTGGGACCAAGATCTGTGAATTGGTTGATTTACCCATCAGACAGAATGGTGTTTGGCACGTCACAAAAAGCAGGGCTAGTTTGGGTTTTAAGCTTGGATAGGTATGACATCAAGTGGTTTCTTTCCTCTAGTTTACATTTTATACTTCCAGATTTTTCTATAATGGCATGTTGTTAGAAACAAGTGGATAGGCTTAACAATTTGGCTGTATTCAGACTCAGGATAGGGTTTGGAGTTAAGGAGGCATGGAGACTAGATTAGGGTTAGAGTCTGTTGTAATGCTAAGTCTTTAGGGTTTTACAGGTTACTATTCAGGGCTGTTTGTCACATTTAGAATACAGGAGGCAGCTGAGGGCTTTTGCTATGGCACACATACTTAGTACATGAGCTTGACTAGCTAGCTTTTCAAGTGGACCATGGCAGAGTGGGTATCTCATGTGTGTGTCCGTATACACGTGTGTACGTGTGTACGTGTGTGTGTGTGCGCGCGCGCGCAAGTTCACATGTTTTCAGACAGCACGGTCAGACATTTAACTGCTTCCTGAACAAACAGGCTCCACTGTTCTCTCTCCCATCTGCAGCCAGTGTTCCTCCCCTGGTTGTTCCCCTAGCTCTTACCTGACTCTGTTTTTGTTTTTACTTTCTATTCCTTGATCACTGTATCTCCAAATATGTCCAAGTCCTCCTCCTCTGTACCAAGCCCTGAGGATCTGGCCAAGTCCCTTGTAGGATCCGGGGGGTATTATGTAGGGTCAGTTTTGGAGACTAGAGACATGAGGAGTTGAGCAGTGGCTCTTCCAGCCTCGAGACAGCTTTTAGGATGGAGTATGGCTTTGCTGGAAGGGTGGCATTGCCAAAGTCCTGCCAAAGCAGAAACTGGAGGCTTGGCCGGCCTCTTTACCTGACCCTGGCAGAGGCAGCCCTGTCATCCAGAATCCTGGACTAGGCTCTGTGTGTCCCAGAGCAGGAGATATAGTCAGGAGCCTAGTATGAAGCTTGTTTCTTCCTCCCTTCCTAGGCCCTGTGGGACATCTCTGGGGAGAATAGCTCCTTACGCTGGGACAACAGGGGAGAAAAAGCCTTTGGATAAACAAAAGCTAAGTCATCTGGGCAGAAAAACGGCTCATGAAATTAACCAGACGAGGCCGGTGTTTCCAGGAATATTTCAGTTCTGAGGTAACTATGTCACTGCAAGCTGGGGGGTGGGAGGACACGGGAGAACAGAAGGGGAGCCTACTGGCCAGTCCTAGAGAAGCAGAAAGAAGCATGGGAGTCGGGTCATAGGAATCAGAGTGGAGACCAGTAGAGGTGAAAGGGGAGTTGAAGTATAGGACTCTGCTCTGTCCTATGACAGCTTTGGTCTTGGACAAGATGTGTCCATATCTCAGGCAGCCAAGCTGAAAGTCCTGGACAGAGAACACCTGACCTCAGTATGAGCACTGAGCCAGGGACTCCTAATGCCCAGGGATAGGTTTGGTAGAGCCCAGCTCCCTGTTTTTCTCTCTAGCTCATGATGTATGCAGGTGGACCCCACCATAAGGCTGTATCCCAGCCCTGCCTCCCCTAGCCCCCTCCCCCAGCCCTGGTCCCCAGGCCCAGCCCCCTCCCCCAGCCCCGGTCCCCAGGCCCAGCCCTGCCTCGGCTGCTGCCCGCTGACTGTTTACATCCTCTTCTCCTTGTGTTTATAAATCCGGCTGAGCACGTGAGGAGCTAATGAGTGCAGCTCACGTTTCCTGCCGCAGCACCCCTACACTCCCTATCCTGGCCCCTGCCAGGGCCAGCCCCTAATTCTATCCAGATCCCTGGGCCCTGGGAAACCAGGCCCCCCCTCATGAACACACACATACTGCCTTAGCCCTGGCAAGCCCAAAGGCCACCCCCACATGCTACACAGGCAGGCCTTCAGCAGTCTCCCCTCAGCTCCTGGCCCAAACCACAGGCTGACCACCCTCAGTGAGGGTGGGGGGCTCAGCAGTGCAGATGTCCTGGGTAGATGGGGGAGACTGCACCTGGGACTAGGGGCTAACAGCTGTAAGCCCTAGATGTTGAGTCCAGAAGTTCTACAGACTAGGCTAAAAATGGGAGCCAGAAGGAAAGGTCGTGCCTTCAGTCCATATCAGAACTAGCATCTGGGTGACTTTGGAGTCCACTAAGGGGAACTGGAGGGAATAGCCTAAAAAGTGGTGTGAGATCCAGGGGTCAGACCCAGAGAAAGGTCCACAGAAACCTAGTCTTGGCCGGGCGGTGGTGGCACACTCGCCTTTAATCCCAGCACTTGGGAGGCAGAGGCAGGTGGATTTCTGAGTTTGAGAGTTTGAGGCTAGCCTGGTCTACAGAGTGAGTTCCAGGACAGCCAGGGCTACATAGAGAAATCCTGTCTCAAAAAACCAAACCAAACCAAAAAAAAAAAGAAAAAGAAAAAAAAAGAAACCTAGTCTTTCCATCCTCAAGAATGGCTGCCCTTCTGTTTCTTCCTTCACTGCTGCAGTCCAGGTTCCCTTCCCACGATGGCTGGTGAGGAATGGGGGTAGGCCTGGAAGTCAGGAGACCAAGCTCTACTACGACCTCATCTGGTGGCAGTGGGCTCCCATAAGGAGACTGCACTGTGCTAAGGTTCCTCCCAGATGAATCCTATGGGCTCTACCTCTGAGTCCTTTCCAACAGTCCCATTTCCCCTTCTCTTCCTTTCTAGTCCAAAAGATAGACCAGTGTCAGGGGAAAGGCAGAAGGCAAGGCAAGTCTTTCCTTGTGAAGTCAATCCAGGAGTTGCGCTCAGGCTGAGGGAAAAGCTCCTCCGATATGCCACAAGAGGGCCTTTGGTTACTCAGGGAGATGAGAGTAAAGCCTTATGGTTGAGCAGCCCACTGAGGCCGCCGAAAAAGAAATGAAGGAAATAGCCCAGAGCAAGTATGTGAGTGAACTGGAAAGGATATTGTTTGTGATCAAGAGTGTACAGGAGGGTGTGGGAGGGGCTTCGGAGAGTGCAGGAGCCAGGGTGTGAACAGGCAGGTGGGATCATGGGGGAGGAATGTTAAGTGTCAGGAATCAGTAGCTAAAGTGTAGGGGTGGCTTGCAGAAGTGTGAACTGGACACTTGAGTGTGCAGCTGGGGAGCCCATTACTCCTGTCAGCAGACACTTCAGGGGTTGCCCAGGGACAGAGGCGTCCATTTCTAGTTTTTCTTCCTCTTCCTTGAAGTACGGAGCTAAAAGGGTTCACCTTGTCTGTTAGAGAAGTAAGGACTTATGTGAGGTGGCGAGGGGAGCGAATGGGATGGCGGTGTGTAGTAGACTGAGACAGACGTCTGTCAGGGACAATGAAAACCAGAAATTTCCCTGCTCAGATTCCGAGAGAGAGAGGTGTGTATGATGTTTCCCACCTCTAGTCTTTCTCTAAGATTCGGACTGCGCTGCCATCCATCCATCCACTGTCTGCCCTCCTCCTTTTGGCAGGTTCTTCCTGCTCCTAGGCTCTGGAGAACACAGGGATTGGGGGTCTCCTAGAAGGAAGCCTTCTGCATCCCAGTGTAATAGAAAGGTAGGTGAGAACATGAGTGTGGGTACTTTGAAGAAGTTACGCGGACTTTGCTTGAGGGCATTAGCCCCGAGAAACTGGGGCGGTGGGAGTTGGCAGTTCGCTGGCCCTACCTTCTCGACCGTAACCTCTCGATCTCGGACCCCTCCCGGCGGCGGTGGCGCCTTCCCCTTGTGTGGCCCCGGCGCCCCCGGCCCCGCCCCCCCGTCCGCTCCCTTCCCGGCGGCGGCGGGGGCGGAGGCGGGGTCCGGGCGCCGGGCTTCGGGGCTCGGCTGAGCCGCTGCCCGCTCCAGCGCGTCCACTCCCTGCCCGACCCGCCCTCTTGCCATGGGCCGCCTAGCCAGCCAGCCGCTCGAGGGGCTGCCGGCAGTCTTGGCGCTCCCGGGCCGTTGACGGACTTTTTCCTGCTGGGTCCGGCCAGGCTGCGTCTCCCCCACAACTCCCTCCCGCAGTAATCACTCCCAGGCCCCCGCGGGCCCGGAGCCCCGGCCACCCTGCCGCGCCTACCTGCCTCTGCCTCCCAGGCGGTGGGCAGCATGGAGGGCTCCGGCCACGCCGCGCGCAGCGTAGTAGCCGGAGTCCCGCGGCCCGGCCCGGCCCGGCCCGGCCCAGCTAGGTTTGCTCTGCCCTCCGCCCTCCTCTCGTGCGCCCTCCTCCTCTCCCCGCGGGCCGAGGAAGGAGTTCAGCGCGGCCCGAGGTGTCGGCCTCCCCTTCGCCTCCCGCTGCTCGGCCGCGGGCTCCCCCTCTGCCTCTCTCCCTCCCTCTTCCTCTCCTGGCCCCCTCCTCCCTCGGGCCGCGGGCCCCCCCTCCCCGCACCCTCGCTGCCCGCCTCGGACTCGCTGGTCCCGACTCTGGCGCGGGGCTCTGTGTCCGCGGGTTCCCTGGGACCCCGCCTCGCGTGGCTCCAGGTGGCCGCCCATCCAGGTCTGAGGGTTGTCCAGGCTCCCCGCCGCGTTCTCAGCCACCTCCTGGCTCCGCCAAGCGGACTTCAGGAATGCCGCGTCCCCACCCGGCCCCTCTCGAGGGCGCCCGGCCGTACCTCCCCAGCCTGAGCTCTGCTCCCCGGCCCGGCCCTGGCTTGGGACTCCGAGGGTGGGGAGGAGGACGGGAACCGGATCTCACTGGTGCTGGGCGGGGGCGGAGGCCTCGGCCTCGGACGCCTGGCTCCTACCTGCTCGGAGGTCCATGGGGCTGGGGGCCGGGCCGGCCGGGCGCGGCTCCTCTCCCAGAGGCTGGCGGAGTGGGAGGGCGAGCCGCGGCTCCGGCGAAGCTTTAATAATCCCATCCGCCAGGCCCACTCGCAGGTTTTTTTCTCTCGGTTTCGCATTTTTTTTTTCGGTGTGGGACATTCTGCAAACTTTTTTTTTTTCTGACGTGTAAAGCTGTAACCACAAATTGTAGCAGCCCTCCCCGGGTGGGGGGGAAGAGGGGGGGAGGAGGGAAGGGAGGGCTTCTGGGGCTCCTCTCCCTCCCACAGCACTAAGGGGGGGTGGTGAGGTGAGGCAAGGCTGCGACGGTACCACCCTAGGCCTCCTGGGGGAGGGGGCAGGGAGGGCATCGTCCCTCTGCAAACTCTTGAGAGCTTGGAAAGGGAGCTGGCCTCGGTGTGGGCTTCTTCCTTGGTGTCGGCCAGGGCATGCTAGCCTCCTTCCCTCTGCTCCTTGCCGGGTTGAGGGTCCCTGTACCCACCCTACCTCTGCCTCTTCATTTCTGACCTTCCCTCCCCCTCCCACTTGAATAAATGCAATGACACATTCTCTCAAATGCCAGCAAGCTGGCCTCCAAGCAAGTGATGGTGTTTTTCCTGCTGCCCTTTGTCTGGGCTGACCGCCCCCCTTGCCTATTGTCCCGCCACTTGTCCGACTTCCAAAAGCTAGAGCTAAGTGAGGCGCCAGGGGCTGGGGCAGGTGACTAACCAGCTCACAATGCCCCCTGAGGAGGGGAGAGGGCAGCAGGGCCCAGCTTCTCAGTCAAGTTCACAAGGGTTTTCATTCTTCCCAGTGACCAGGGAGAGTGCACATGGGTGGGAGATTTGTAACTCATTAATCAGCACAAGGCACCGGACCAGTTTCAACACCAGAGGCTTCACGGGTGACTCAGCGGGAACTCGAAGATTCAAGGCCATGGATAGACCCAGCATCCCGTTTGTGAAATGCTTCCCCATCGAGACATTTGGCATCCTCTTCCCTTTGGGGTTTTGGGTTGTTGGTTTTTCCGGTGGTGAGGTAGGGGTGGTTTGGCAGTGAGCACTCTCCCTCCTTCCCCTCAGGCCTGGGTTGGGACTTTCTGAGTGGGAGACCTAGGGGACCCATAAGCCTAGACCCTCCCAGGAGGGTCTCCTTTCCTCCTTCTTCCTCCCTCTCCAAAGGGCTGCCAGGGAGAGAGAGTGAGCAAGAAAGCTAGCGCAGAGGAAACAGCTGTCATCTAGGGCTTGGAGACAGCCCCATTTTGTGATTTTTCTTGGGGGACAGTCATTTGGTCCCCAAGTCTTGGATGCCTGTGGAAGCATAGCACCAATTAAGTCATTGATAAGTCGCTGTGCTGTTTATCTGTAGTCTCACCGGGGCAGGTACGAATGGCAGCCAGACCGGGAAGGTGATGCCTGTCTCTGGAATGGCATGAGACAGTCATCCCCCACGTCTGCTGGTACCCCTGGGGAAGGAGGGCACTCTGCCAGTCTAGCGCAGCCCCTCCAGCCTGTGGGTCAGAGTAGGCATCAGTCATGGCCAGTGCTCGTTTCCCAGGGCAGCACTTCCCTTTTCTGCATTGGAGAACTGGGGTGGGGGGGGTGGGGGGGTGGGGAAGAAGTTTGTTTTCAATTACCTCACTGGAGTGGGACAGACTTTGTTGTTGGGTTGTTTCTTTCTATTTTTTTCCTTCTCTCCCTTCCTTTCTCTCTCCCTCATCCCCCCCACCCCTTTTTTCTGAACAAGAAGAAAAAGCTGAGAATGGAGAGCTGGTCTGGGTGGGGGCAGGGGACTCTAGAGCATCAGTAGCTGCTCTGATGAAAAGTGCCTTGGAGGGGCCCTGTGAAAAGTGCTTGGACCTCCCTCCCCCAACTCCCCACCCCCCACCAGCCAGGGCTCTGGAGTTTCAATGACATTCTTGGCCAATGAGCCTAACCATCTCTTGATGCGCTTGCCAAGGTCAAAAAGGCAGATGCCCACAAGTAACTGACCCCGAGTGGACCAGGAGGCCCCCCTAGCATCTCCTACCCCTTCTGAAGGGAGCAAGGACGAGAAGAGGAGCCCCCTGAAAGCCCAGCTTGGGCTGTGCAGCTCCTCGGCTCACCCCTGGTGGGAAGGCTTTGCAGACAATGTGGTTTGGATTTGGCTGAGCCCCGCAGCACCTTATAAAGCACCTTGCTGAGTCAGGGGAACAGCTTCGATGAAGAGAGAAATAAGGAGGGCTGAGGGGGAGAGAAAAGGAAGGAGAAAGGAGAAGGGACCTGGGATAAGAGAGAGGAGACACAGAGACCGAATGAGGAGAGCTGTAGTAACTAGCAGGCGGGAAAGGAAGACAGCCACGAGGAGAAACACCTTCTTAATAAGGCGGGAGAGAGGGTCTACGACTTACTCCACCCAGTTGTGTCTCGGAAGGCACTGGCTTGCAGAAACTGGGCAGTTGTTCACAGCAGATTCAGCCCAGGTTGGGAGCAGGACAACTGGTTTACACATGGTTCTTAGGGCTCCCTGTTTGCCTTTTGATTCTTAATGTAGTGACCCCCACATTCTAGGAACGTCAAATTCTCCTTTGGCCCTATGTCTGGACTTGCCTCTCTGCCCTCTCCCCTCACCCAGTGTGGGCCACCCCCAACTCCTGCAGTGCCAAAGGGAAAATCAGCTCCATCTCCAAGCTGCAGTGCCCCTCTGCCATGTCTGGGCAAAGGCAGCAAGCTGGAAGCTGCCAGTTGGGGTGGGGTGGGGGCCAAAGTAAAGACTTCACCTCCTGCCAAATCCCCAATAGGGGTGGGCTGCTGGAGTTTGGGGGAGAAGGAAGAAAAGAAAGTGAATCAGGAGAGCCCCCCAGGGTTTCTGTGGAGCAGGGTGGGGCAGGACAGGTGCTCTCTTCTGGTTTCCAGCTGAAGAGGTAGTGAAGCTTCTGTTCTCACTTCCTTACCCTTGCTGGCTCTCAGAACCTGGTCAGGGCCCTTCCAACTCCCAACAATCTGGGAGTGGCCGTTTGGGTAGGGGAGAGGCTGCAGGAGAAACTGTATACCCACCCCCTAGCTCCAGATAAGCTTCCTCAGGAAGACAGAGTCATCCCCTTTGTCCTGTGAGATCCTTAGGCTGCCTTCTCAGCTTCTGTTGGGATACTCTGTCTTGTAACAAACAGAAAAGGAAATCCCAATGTTGCCTTCAAGATTTTCGGTTTGGGGACACTTATTAAATGTCATCACTAGCCACAGTGGGAGAGTCCACTGGGCACCACACAGCTCCCACCAGTAGCAGGCATGGTGGAGAGTGAGACTCAGGGTACCTGGGTTCCAGTTGACCTGCATACAGTAAGGTTTGACCACATCCACCCTCCTTCTCCGGTATTCAGTGAGTTAATGTTTGATTGGCATGCTAGTTTGCCACCTCCTTTGACCTTCCAGATAGCAGGCCACTGTTAGATGGTAAGTAGACCCAAGAAATGTGCTGAGTGAGGGGCAGAGCTGAAACCAAACTGCCCTCCAAGGAATGACTAAAAGTAACTGGGTATTAGCTCAGGGGCTAGCTATAATCCCACCCCTTTCTCTTTTCCCTCTCCCTCAGGCTCCTGTTCCTCTTTTGTCTTATAACTGTCATGGGAGGGAGCTCTCTAGGTACCCCAAAATACTATATTTGATACAGCTATTGGCATTGACGGGGTCCTGGCCTAATGAGGTCCTAGTTCTTGAACTAGGGAAACCTCTAATCTGGACTCCTCTTGACAGGTGATCAGGAAGGACGTGGACAAGCCCATAGAGGGTATAAAGACATTTTCCTGAGAGCCTCCTCCATGCCAGTTACTAAGGAAAACAAAGGAGCCTTAAGGGGCTGAGGGAGGAATGACAGAGGCTGGCCCATGAGGGATAGACATGGGCAAGGCAGAAGTGACTCCTCAGCCTGGTCAGCCCACTGAGTCTCCTTCCCCTCCCCTTGGTTTGTTGTGTTTTGTTTTTGTTTTTTTGAGACAGGATTTCTCTGTGTAGCCCTGGCTTTCCTGGAACTCACTGTGTAGACCAGGCTGGCTCAGAGATTCAGATCCACCTTCCTCTGCCTCCTGAGTGCTAAGTCTTCTCTTCTTGATGGTTATTTGGCTTAAAGATTATCATAGCCTTTTCAAACACCAAGCTCCCTTTTCCTCAGCGGCAGGCAGTCGTCCTTTTCGGGCCCATCTTTGTCCCTTTCATCTCACCTTTGCAGGAGCCCTGTGAGACAGATGCTGTCCTTTTCCTTAAACCAGGAGGAAGCAGGTGAAGTCACTCTACATCCTACACCAGACTGCATGGTACGAAAGGGATGAGGACCCAGCATTGTCTGACCTCAGGGCCTATGACCAGTTGACTACACCATGCAGGTACCAACCTGGGGGCTGCCTTGAGGGGATTCCACAGAGAAGAGGCTGAGAGCACATTTTGTGTTGTAAAACTTTATTGAGTCCCCTGGCTATGAGGTCTGTGGCTATGGGCACAGGGGGTCTTCCAAGATACCAAGTTGCACTGGGCAGTGGTGGCGCACGCCTTTAATCCCAGCACTTGGGAGGCAGAGGCAGGCGGATTTCTGAGTTTGAGGCCAGCCTGGTCTACAGAGTGAGTTCTAGGACAGCCAGGGCTACACAGAGAAACCCTGTCTCGAAAAACCAAAAAAAAAAAAGATACCAAGTTGCTCCTTGAGACATGTGCAGATGATTCTAGTGCTTGGAGGAGTAGTAGTAGAACCCTGGCCACTCCACCACATGTAGCACCGTAAGCTGGGCTAGGTGCCTTACCACCATCCTCCTGTGTCCAAGAGAGGCCAGATCCTAAGAACACTAAAAATCTCAGCTAGATTCCTTTAAAAAAAAAAAGATTTATTTATTTATTGTATACAAATACTCTGTAGCTGTCTTTAGACACACCAGAAGAAGGCATCAGATCTTATTACAGATGGTTTTGAGCTACCATGTGGTTGCTGGGAATTGAACTCAGGACCTCTGGAAGAGTAGTCAGTGCTCTTAACCTCTGAGCCATCTCTCCAGCCCCTCAGCTAGATTCTTGATTCCATTAGTAGGGAGCTTGGAGCCACACACTGAGCATTAAAGTGGAGGTTAGAAGTCATCTCCCAAAGCAGCAAGACGGGGCTTCCTTCTATACCAGTCCACAAAGACATTCCCTAGATGGCTTCAGGGGCCCAATCCCAGATACCCTTTGGGAGAGTTCTGCAGGGTGTACCGAAAACTCCTGCAGTGGTGCGAGGAGAGGAGGAGGCTGAGAATAGGAGAGCTGGTACTTTCTCTTTTTCTCCAACACACTCCAGCACAGAGGGCCCTGCCTCACCCTGAGCTGGCCCTGATGTCAGGGGAAACCCCAGGGGCAGAGGGCTCCTTTCACCTCAGCAACTTCCCTGCCCTGCCCTGGCTCCCCCACCCATACCTGGCCCAGCTCAAGCCTCCCCAAAGGACACCCCACCCTATTTCCCCCTTGGAG